CCATGCTAAATTGCCCATAGTGTCCAGAGATGTGCTGGCTAGGTGGATTAGTCATGGGAAATGCTGGGTTATTGAATAGGGGGTAGGTCTGAAGGGGATGCTCTTCAGAGGGGCAGTGTGAACTTGATAGGCAGAATGGCCTGCTTTCACACTGTAGGGATTCTATGATTCTATGACCCAATGACCCATTTGGCTTGCTGCATGTTGTGGACACCGTGGGTTCAATTCCTGCACTGGCTGAGGTTGCCATGAAGGATTCTACTCCTCAGCCTCTCCCCTCACCTGAGGCATGGTGACCATCAGGTTAAACCACCACCTGTCACCTCTCTCTTTCTCTCTAATGAGAGAGCAGTTCCATGGTCTGATAGGATTATGGTAACTTGACCCATATTGTAGACGGAAAGGCCAAAAAAGCATGTTCAGCAAGATGTGTTTTTTTTTTCAATATATATTGGGGAGATATTTCAGAAAAGAAAAGTCTAGACTTTCCTTCTTCCACCGCCCCCCCCGCCCCAACCCCCTCATCTCAGAGCAACTACATAGAGCAGAACTATTTTGATTCACTTCAACAACTGGAGCTTATTAATTTTAATGTGGCAGCACAGATGATATTAATCTTTAATTTGACTCTCCACTTTGACTAAAACACATCAGTCAGATACAAATCCCCATGGCAGCCGTTGATGGAACCCGGGGAAAAAATGCTTTAATTAAGCACCATTTATTGAGTAGATGATCAGGGTTGAGAGAGCGCGGGGTGATGTGGGGGAGGTGAATGGTGGGGTTAGTTGTGGAGGTCGCTGGAGAGGTGAGGTGATTGTTGCCTGTTTTACTCTTTACTGACGAAAGCCAGAAGGAAACATCTGGGAAATCTGTCAAAAGAGGGGGAGAAAATGGCCCGTTAGGAAGCTTTCAAATTCTATCATTCGTCATTCTAGAGGGAAACAAAAACATTAGATACAAAGGATGGATGGTACTCAAGGGGATGCAATGCAACTTCGTTCCTTTCTTCGAACATATTGTGCTGTTGATGTTGGCTATCCAACTCTCCAAGTTTCTTGAAGCTTTCAAAAAATATAATTTAAGGAGCAGAGCTTCAGTTGCAAATATTTTTGATTTTATTTTGTCAAGAGGCCCTCACAAGCACTGAGTCCCAGGCAGCTTGCTCCTGTTGCTTAAACACAGGGCTGCACATGTCTAACTAGGCCATCTGATTAATTGGTTGCCATTAGGAGCAATCACACTGAGCGTATTTCTGATGCTTTTTCCCCATGATTAATGATTTGGTGAAACTCAGACTGTCCTAGTTCTAATTCAGACACTGCAAACAATCCCCTCCCAGAATATCTTGCACAGTCCAGCAGTGTAACAAGGTGAATTTGTTTTAATTTAAAAAAATAAATTACTGAAGGTGACCCAGTGTCAATGCTGTTGTTAACAATGGCGGCCTGTGATCAAATTCCAAAAGGATTTACTCTGTTTTGCATGCTTCAGAAGATGAGTACTATCTATTAGGAATGAAAACAAAAAATAGAGATTGCTGGAAAAGCTCAGCAGGTCTGGGAGCGTCTTTGGAGCGAAATCAGAGTTAACGTTGAGTTGAGGGAAAGGGTTACTCAACCTTCACTCTAGGTTGAGTGACCCTTCCTCAGAACTGATAGTAGCAAGGAAATTGTCGGTTTCAATGCAGGAGGGGCAGGGGTTAAGGAGTAAACAAGAGGTGGGGATAGAGCCCAAAGAGAGAAAGGAATAGTTGGACAGCCAAAGGTGTGGATGACAATCTGGCTAGGAGAGGGAATAGCCAGATGACTAACAGTCTAACATCCATAATGATGTGAGAGAAGAGTGGATAAGTCAAAACTCTTGGCTGGACATAGTTGGAAACAGATCAGCAGCAGTTCGAGTTACCGTTAGGGTCCTGGATGCTAAGTCTCCCATTTTCCTAAGTTTCCACTGTACCCTCCCGGGGTTGTATACTATAAGAGACAATACAGAAGGCTCTAAAAGTCAGATTGTTAGAGATGGCAAACTGAGAATGACACTTCCATATCAGGGCAGAAACCCAGGCTTTGCTATTGTTATGATCCCAGCTCTCTTTTTTTAAATTCATTTGTGGGATGTGGGCATCGCTGGCTGGCCAGCATTTATTTTCTATCCCTAGTTGCCCCTGAGAAGGTGGTGGTGAGCTGCCTTCTTGGATCACTGCAGTCCACCTGCTCCGGGTTGACTCAGAATGCTATTAGGAGAGTAATTTCAGCATTTGGACCCAGCCACAGTAAAGGAACGACAATATATTTCCTATTCAGGATGGTAAGTGGCTTAGAGGGAAGCTTGTAGATGGTTCCCGTGCATCTGCTGCCCATGTCTTTCTAAATGAAAGTGGTCATGGATTTAGAAACTGCTGTCTAAGGACCTTGGTGAATTTCTGCAGTGCATCTTGCAGGTTATGCACACAGCTGCTACTGAGCGTCTGTGGTGGAGGGAAGAGATGCTTATAGATGTCATGTCAGTTAAGCAGTCTGCTTTGTCCTGGGTTGTGTCAGGCTTCTTAAGTGTTGTTGGAGCTACACTCATCCAAGCAAGTGGGGAGTATTCCATCACACTCCTGACTTGTGCCTTGGAAATGGTGAACAGGCTTTGAGGAGTCAGGAGGTGAGTTAATGCCTGCAGTATTCCTAGCCTGTGACCTGCTCTTGTAGCCACTATGTTTATGTGGTGAGTCCACTTGCGTTTCTAGTCAATGATAACCCCCAGGATGTTGATAGTGGGGGTTTCAGTGATGGTAACACCATTGAATGTTAAGGGGTGATGTTTAGATTGTCACTTATTTGTGATGATCATAGCATGGAATTTGTGTGGCATGAATGTTACTTGCTACTTGTCAGCCCAAGCCTGGATATTGTCCAGATCTTGTTGCAATTGAACAAGGACTGCTTCAGTATCTGAGGAGTTGCAAGTGTGCTGAACATTGTGCAATCATCAGCGAACATCCCCAATCCTGACCTTATAATGGCAGGAAGGGGTCATTGATGAAGCAGCTGAAGATGGTTAGACCGAGGACACTACCCTGAGGAACTTCACGAGAGATGTTCTGGAGCTGAGATGACCGACCTCCAACAACCGCAATCGTCTTCCTATGTGTCAGGTATGACTCCAAACAGCGGAGAGTTTGCCCCGATATCCATTAATTCCAGTTTTGCTAGGGCTCCTTAGTGCCACACTCAGTTGAATGCAGCCTTGATATCAAGGGCTGTCACTCTCACCTCTGGAATTCAGCTCTTTTGTCCATGTTTGAACCAAGGCTGTAATGAGATCAGGAGCTGAGTGGTCCTGGTAGAACCCAAACTAGGTGTCACTGAGCAGGTTATTGCTGAGCAGGTGCTGCTTGATAGCACTGTTAATAACACTTTCCATCACTCTACTGATGATTGAGAGTAGATTGATGGAGCGGTAATTGGCTGGGTTGGATTTGTCCTGCTTTTTTTATGTACAGGACATACCTCGGTAATTTTCCACATTGTCGGGTAGATGTCTGTGTTGTAACTGTGCTGGAACAGCTTGGCTAAGGGAGTGGCAAGTTCTGGAGCACAAGCTTTCAGTACTATTGCCAGAATGTTGTCAAAACCCATAACCTTTGCAGTATCCAGTGTCTCCAACCGTTTCTTGATATCACATGGAGTGAATCGAATTGGCTGAAGACTGGTATCTGTAATGCTGGGGACCACTGGAGGAGGCCGAGTTGGATCATCCACTTGACATTTCTGACTGAAGATTGCTGCGAATGCTTCAGCCTTATCTTTTGCACTGATGTGCTAGGTTCTTCCATCATTGAGGATGGGGATATTTGTGTAGGCTCCTCCTCCAGTGAGGTGTTTAATTGTCCACCACCATTCACGGCTGGATGTGGCAGCACTGCAGAGTTTAGATCTGATCCCTTGGTTGTGGGATCGCTTAACTCTGTCTATCACTTGCTGCTCTTCCGACCCCATTAAATTTAGTTTTCCTCCCCAGTTAATTGTTCTTACTCTGGATTTTTCATTATATTTTCCCACATTTACCATAAACCTTTAGATACAGGGATTTGAACTCAAGACACTGGAAAATTATTTTCAAGCCTCTGGAGTATTAGCATAATAATATTGTCCCCATAACCAGTCAATTCACTTTAAAGTACAGTTCTGAGACTGAATTTTATGAGGCCTCACATTGCCAGGGCGGTTTCACAAGCAGTTTAGTGGAACATTGAGGTATTTCTATGTGCGGGACAGCAAGAAGTGATCTTTCTCTGAACTCTTCCCCCCTGCAACAATAGTGCACTATTTGGGCAGAAAATCTTGGAGAAGCCAGGTGAAACTCTGAGGAAATTCACCCACAACCCTCCCATGTTGTCCACCCCAATTACCATGTGTAGTGGAGTATTGAAAGAAACCTTGCCCAATGCAGTGATTTCATTTCACTGCATTTCATTCCATTTCAAAAGTGAGTTAGTCAAAAAAAAATGTCCCAGCTGAAACAGGCAGACAGACATCAACCTAATAGAAACGTAGAAATTAGGTGCATGAGTAGGCCATTCAGCCCTTCGAGCCTGCACCACCATTCAATACAATCATGGCTGATCATGCAATCTCAGTATCCCATTCCTGCTTTCTCTTCATACCCCTTGCTCCCGTTAGCTGCAAGGATCACATCCAGCTCCCTCTTGAAATGAACTGGCCACAACAGCCTCCTGTGGGAGAGAATTCCACAGGTCCCCAACTCTCTGAGTGAAGAAATTCTTCCCCATCTCAGGCCTGAATGGCTTACCCCTTATTCTTGGACTGTGAACCATAGTTCTGGACTTCCCCAACATCGGGAACATTCTTCCTGCACTTACCCTTTCCAGACCCATCAGGATTTTATATGTTTCTGTGAGATGCTCTCCCTTTCATCCAGCGAGTACAAGCCTAGTCAATCCAGTCTTTCCTCATATGTCCTAACGTTGTAAATCCTTTGCTTTATAGGTGAAGAAATTGATGACAGCTCACCCTATGAGCCCAGCAAGAGGGGATATGACTATGCCAGACTGGCCTCAATAACAGCAGGTGAGTGTCCTCATTATTAAATAACAGTTTCTCCAGTGCTCGAGGACACAGCGTTGAGAATTTGGTCAGGCCTGTTTCAATAATCTCAACATGGTAAATGCCAGCAGGACTACGTTGTGACTCCAGTTCCACAGTGCTCCACGCTCAGGCGACTCTTTACTGAGTTTTTGAGTGTGAATATTCAGCCTGGAGTTTGGAGCTGTTTTCCTGGCCAGAAGCACGTTAGCCGTCCATTTAAGGGTGTGGCGGGGGTTGGGGGGGGAACGGGTTTGGAGCTGGGCTCCCAAGGCTGGAGGGACAATGAGAAAATGACAGATTTCCTCACTTGCTAAGCATTCTGGTACCATCTGCATTTCCTGTGCTACAACTCACAAGAGCTAAAAGCAGATTTTGAAATGAACTTGTGCCTATGTGATCAAGATATCGTTATTTGAAACAACATTCGATAAGGGGTATAAATGAAGTACATTATGTTTATCTGCAGCTGCATCTTAACAATAAGACTAACCTCACACTAACTTGCTCCAATGTTGAATATTCAGGTGCACCCTGAAGGAGGTGGGTTAACTCAGTGGGCTGGATAGCTGCTTTGCAATGCAGACTAACACCACCAGCATGGGCTCAATTCCCACACCAGCTGAGGTCACCATAAAGATCCTGTCTTCTCAACCTTGCTTCTTGTCTACAGTGTGGTGACCCAGGTGTTTAACTTACTTTTATAAGGTTGAAACAGGGACCCTCTTGTGGTGCATTGGGAGTGTACCCACTCCGGACTGGGAGGTTCGTGTTCAAGTTCCACCTGCTTCAGAGGTGTGTAATAACATCTCTGAACAGGCTGATTACAAAAATAGGTGAAATAAAGAAAACGTTGAAATATGGGTGATTGGAGTGGGCTTCGCCTTGGAACCCAAGAGATTGCAGGGAATCTCAATGACCAGCTTCTGACAGCCTGGTTTCAGCAGTACATGAGGTACCTGCCTCTTGCTTGAAACTCTCCCATATTATAGAATCCCTACAGTGTAGATAGAGACCATTTGGCCCATAAAGTCTGCACCAACCCTCTGAAGAGCATCCCACCCAGACCCAATCCTCCACCCTATCCCCATAATCCCATATTTCCCATGGCTAATCCATCTAATTTGCAAATCCCTGGACACTACAGGACAGTTTAGCATGGGCAGTCTACCGAGTCTGCACATGTTTGGACTGTAGGAGAAAACTGGAGCACCCAGAGGAAACACACACAGACACAGGGAGAACGTGCAAACTGCACACAGACAGTCACTCAAGGCTGGAATCAAACCCAGGTCCTTGGTGCAGTGAAGCAGCAGTGCTAACCACCATGTTGCCTTCAAAGCAAGGCATTTGGAGGAAATATAAGCAATTGAATTATCACTCTCGAGAGAGAGACTGTGGCTTCCACTGCCTGCTCCTTGGAGCTGGACATATACCCAGAGGTGCTTTGGATCAAATCATCCTCATGAGGTTTTGCAAGGCCTCTGGAGACATGTTGCATAAAGCATCTATTTCAAGCATTGGAGGCTGCTACACCAGGAGACATCAGTGTTGTTAGATGTTCCTCTTGGTGTCTTGATGATGCAGTAATCTCCTGGGCTTTCACCAGGGTATTCTGCACAAAGTGAGACTCTTTTTACAGTTATGTTGCAAATGCAGATGCTGGACTCTTCTATTAGCTCCGTATTGTGAGTTGGAAACAGTCTTTACCTCCTCTATCTGACATCATTACACTTGAACCTTTCTTTCTCTGCAGACTGAGCCCCTGAGATTTTGGAACACTCGGGCACTTCAACCAAAAGCGAATCTTTTTCTGCTCCCCTTTGTGGACAAACTCTCTTCTGCTGGCAGATTCTCATTCTCTCCAGGGCTCAGTGCCTGTCCCAATGACAGGGCTGGCTCAGGGTTATCTGCTGGTGCTTTACCACCAAAATGCCAGGATGAAGTTGGCAAGAATCTGGCACATTTTTGTTTATATCTGCCTTCGCGATTCTTGGAAACCCAGGCCTCTTCTTCAAAGGCAATATGCAAAAAAGAACTTGTCTAAATGTGTCTGAAGAAAACGCGGTTGAATGAAAGGGCATTGAAATCTTTAGGAGAAGCATAGTGCCTGGGACATAATCTGAGATGAGTCTTGCACAGCTTTTCTTGTCACTCAGTTTCCAACCTCATCTTCTCCGACAGACTGTTCTGTCCATCTGATAATTTCACCTGCTGTCTTTCCTTCCATGGCCTTTTCATTTGTATTCTGCTGCAGACTGTGAGGAGCATGAAGATTTGTCCTCTGTGGAACCATGATACTCCTGCCGTTAAAAACGGAGTGGTGCAGAAGACTAGCAGAAGCCATTGTTGCCAACTTCGAGTTGAAAAAGTGATTTTAGGTGAAGAAAGTGTCTAGTTAGATTGCCCCTAATCAAAATTGAGTGTCCCTGAGTTTCCTGGCTATCTGTCTGATTGGTAGAGGCCCAGGTATTCATTAGTACCATAGACAATATTGTGGGATCAGTTGAAACCCTTTCTGTGGGGTTACAGATTTTCTTGACATGTTGGATGTTGCAGTACTCTATGTTCCACCACTCCTCTGCACCCACCCCCAACCCCCAACCCCCACTCCCACCCATCGTCAACCCTCCAGACAGCCTGCACAGCTCTCTTGTGTGCCTTCTGTACTCAGTGCTTCTCACACCATCTCTGCTGACCCTCAGTTCTGTCAACAGCACTCACAGATGACATGTTGGAGAAGCTGGGCCTCTTACCATGTTGTACCCACCTGTGATCCCACCTCTAATCCTTCATCCATCTTACTGATAAGCGAGGTTGTCTTCTAACTAACTGCATAAGCTCCAGATGCTCCTCCTTCCAAGATGAGCTAACCAAGGACACTGTACTAGCCGTTGTAGCTAATGAGGGCTCTGGAAGATAATCCCAGTTGATTAATTGAGTCTCAATTTACCCCAGTGCAAATCCACCAATAGGTGACAAATTCTGAATCAGAAGAAGCAAACTTGGTTGTTTTCAGATCTACCAACTGCTCAAGGATAAGGAAGCTAACTTTAGACTACGATCCCAAATATTGATTGCCATTAGCTACCTATTGTTTAGTCTAATGCTGCCTGAAAACTCTATAGTTCTTCTCTTGACTTGGAAGTAATGTGTAACATTGGAAATAATGACCCTCCTCCTTTGTCATTTCTTCAGGCACCTAGAGCCCAGATTTGAGCTTCTTGATTCTTGATTCATCTTACCTTCTTTAACAGAGAAGCTAACAAGACAACAGAAATTAACTGATCATTCATCTGAATGCCTTTTGGAAGTACCTGTATGACTGCCATGCTGTATCAGAAATGATAATAGAGCACTTGGGAGCTGTTTCTAAGAGTCTCAGTCAGGTGCTGCCTTACCTCAAGTCTTCCACTGCCAACACAAAATGTAGTTATTCACTGGGGTCTTTGGTTTCTCATCAAATATACAGTTTCTGTCTCACCTATGTGCCATGATTGTTAGACACTGTCACTTCACTTACCACAAGGTCTATAGGAAGGTTCAATGTTTGTCCAATTGGTTTCACAGGATCAGACATTGGCATCACACGGGCCAACCGCTGCCTGGATGCAGCCAAAGCCTGCAACGTGGACGAGTCGTGCCAGAAGTTACGGACGGAGTACGTCTCCTCTTGCATCAAACGCTCCAGCAAGGCCGAGACCTGCAACCGCCCCAAATGCCACAAGGCCCTCCGCAAGTTCTTCGACCGCGTACCCGTTGAGTTCACGCACGAGTTACTCTTCTGCCCCTGCGAGGACACGGCGTGTGCGGAGCGCAGAAGGCAAACCATCGTCCCGTTGTGTTCCTATTACGTGAAGGAGAAGCAGAACTGCTTGACGTTACTGGAGTCGTGCAAAATGAATGTTGTTTGCAGGTAAAGAGACGGCAGCGTGCGCACACACTGACGTGCCCAACAGTCCAAGTTGTGTGCCAGTGAGCTGGAAGGAAACAGCTGTATAAGGGGGAGCTGATATACACTATCACTCACAATCCAATCCACCCCCTGCCACTGTCTTTTGTCCCAGGAACTGAGAGTTTGAATTCAGTCCAGTCAGAAGGAGTTAAGATCTGCCAGTTGGTAAGGTTTTTAATATGAAGCAAAGTTAGCACAATGTCAACATTGCTCCCAGGAGAAGCATGACATTGTCCCTAATTTGGCATTAAATTGACAACCTCATTGAAACAGACACAGAGTGCTGTGGGAAATACACAAATTTCACGCTAACACAGAAAAGAGCGTTCTATCAAAGCTGGAGTTAAATGGTGTTGAAGGGAAATAGTGAGTTTTAATCTACATACATACAGTCTGTGCTAAATCTAAGCCTAAGTACTTGGCCCTGATCATGGCAGCTCTCAGTTAGATGGATAAGCAGGTAGATTTTACCCACAAAGCAGAAGACTGTCATTGTAAAATCCTCTAAGCCCAGCCTCGAAGGTGCAAGGCTCCTGTGTCAACACAAGTTGACTTTACAGGTAACTCTGAGCAAGACAATTCACACCCTCAAGCCTGTTAATCATCTTCCTATTTGAGCAATGTATTGTGAGGTATGTTCCACTTGTATCTCAACAGAACTAGTGATTTAAGCCGATGACATCACATTTCTTTCAAGAATGGGTTGGATAGACATTTAGTGAGAAAGTTATTTGAGGGGACAAAAACAGGAGTTGCTGGAAAAGCTCAGCAGGTGTGGCAGCATCTGTGAGGAAAAATCAGAGTTAACGTTTCGGGTCCAGTGACCCTTCCTCAGAACTGCTTCCCCAGTTCCAAGGAAGAGTCACCAGTCCTGAAACGTTAACTCTGGTTTTTCCTCACAGATGCTGCCACACCTGCTGAGCTTTTCCAGCAACTCCTGTTTTTGTTCCTGATTTACAGCATATTTGGTTTTATTTGGTTATTTGAGTGGGTTCCAGGTCCTGAACTGTGGGGTTGGATTTAACTCTGTCCCATCAGTGGCTTTGAAAACAGTTAAGCTCATTAGATCCAGCAAGCTGACTGGGGCCATCCCTTGCACAATAATCTTACCCTGACAGGGTGGAGTTGGGTACCTGCGCCTATGGCATAGGACAATTGAAGACCTCGAGCCCATAAGATGTGGGAACACTTCATCAGTTCTGAAGAAGGGTCACTGGACTGAAATGTTAACTCTGCTTTCTCACCACAGATACTGCCAGACCTGCTGAGTTTCTCCAGCAATTTCTGCTTTTTTTGTTTCAGGTTTTCAGAAGCCTCAGTTCTTGGGTTTATTATATCAGTAAAAGTAGAATATTTTCAACGCCAGTTTAGACAGATTTTTGATTGACAAGGGAGTCAGGAACCTGGGAGGAGTACGAGAGATGATGGTGGTAGACAGTTTGTTAGGATGGAGGCTACAGGGATCAGCTATGAACTTAGCAAACGGCAGATCAGGATCAAGGGCTGAGTGGCCTAGTCCACAATTTTTTTTAAATTCTTGTGTTCTTATATTTCTGCCTCTATAGCAGTTGTATTATTTGGCATTTAATGTAAGTTATTCTCTCTTTATATATTGATTCATGCATTGCAGCAACATTAGATGAATAACTGAATTGGACCCTGAATATTGCAAGCCATATAGCTCTTGTCCTATCAGTTAGTTTTCCCCAAGGCCTCAAACAGTGAGATATTTTGTTCCCTCCTTTATTCTCCTTTCTACATTCTGTAGACTTTTAAAACACAACCATAGCCTCATTTGACTTTGAGTTCTTTGATTTGTTCCACTTTCATTTGCACTTCGTTTCAGTTTGTCGGTATCTTAGAGTAGTCTTGCTGTTTTTTTTAAATTTCTAAATCTGACAATGTAATGAATAAGAGGAAGAAAGGGGAAAATGGTTCAAAGAAAAATTGTGCACTAATTAAGACTTCAAGACCCAACCCTGCAAACTCCTTCCATATGATGGAATTACTAAATCGTCATGGTGCAGAAAGAGGCCATTTGGATCACCTTGTCCACATCTATGTCTCTGCAAGAGTTCCTCATATGGTCCTACTCCCTGACTTTTCCCGGTATCCATATAAACATTTTATCTTCAGATATTTATCCATTTCCCCTTTGAAGGGAGTGCATTAGAGTTTCTAACCAATCACTGCTTTAAAGAGAATATTCCTTGTGTCATTGTTGCTAATTTCTCCAATCGTTTTAGATTTGTGCCCTCTATCTCTCAAAGTTTCTATCGATGGAAACATTTTCTTTCCATCTTCTCAATCCATGCCCCTCATGATTTTGACCGCTTCCATCAAATCTTAGAGAGTCATAGAGTTGTACAGCGCAGAAACAGACCCTTCTTGAATGTTATTCAAGTTGTACTCATCCAGGCACTTGGAGAGTCACAGAGCTGTACACCATGGAAACAGACCCTTCGGTCAACTCATCCATGCTGATTAGATATCCTAAATTAATTTAGTCCCATTTGCCAGCATTTGGCCCATATCCCTCTAAATCCTTCCTATTCGTGTATCCATCCAGATGCCTTTTAAGTGTTGTAATCATACCAGCCTCCACCACTTCCTCTGGCAGCTCATTCCATACATGAACAACCCTCTGTGTGAAAAGGTTGCCCCTCAGGTTCCTTTTAAATCTTTTTCATCTCACCTTAAACCTATGCCCTCTAGTTTTGGACTCTCCTACCCTGGGAAAAAGGCCTTGGCTATTCACCCTAATCATGATTTTATAAATCTCTATAAGGTCACTCATCAGCCTCTGATGCTCCAGGGAAAAGAAGCCCCAGACTATTTAACTTCTCCCTATAGCACAAGCCCTCCAATCCTGACAACATCCTTGTAGATTCATAGTGATAGAGTAATACAGCATGGGAACAGTCCCTTTGGCCCAAACTGGTCCATGCTGACCCTGGTGCCCACTCAGTTATTCCACACGTTATCATTGATTCTTTTGCCAATCACCTTAAGTTTCCATCATCTGGTTACATCTGTTCTGCTAAGGGAGCAGGTTATGTTCGTCCTGCTCTGTCTGTAACACCTCATGATTTATAGCATACCTTTTCTCAAACATCTCTTCTCTGAGGAGAATCGCCATAGTTTCTCCAAACAAGGTTGCTGAAGTCCTGTATGCCCATCCCTGAAATTCATTCTCTTTACTGCTCCTGCTCACAGGTTTTCACAGATTTTCTAGTGTACAGCTGGAATATGAACATATGAAGTACAGACTGGCTCCTTGGGCCAGCTCTGCCATTTGGTAAGAGTATGGCTGAACTGATTATGGCCTCTACTTTCTCGTACACTCTTTGTCAGTCATAAATCAATCTAACTCAGCCTTCAATATCTCTAACTTCTGCTACTGTCTTGGGAGAAAAATTCTACTGACGACCACCTTAAAGAAAAAAACATTTCCTTTATTTTAAATCTATGCTCCTAATTCTAGTCTGCCCACAAATGGAAACATCCCCTCAGCATCCAGTTGGAGAATTGAACACTTTGCTCTATTAGACCATTAGCTGTAGGATTAGAAGTAGGCCATTCAGCCCATCGAGTCTGCTCTGCCATTCAGTGAGTTCATGGCTGTTTTGATAATCCTCAACTCTACTTTCCTGCCCTTTCCCCATAATCCTTGATTCCCTCACTGATTAAAAATCTGTCTATCTCACTTAATATACCTTATAGACCCAACCTCAACAGCCTTCTGTGGAAATGAATTCCCTAAATTCACCACCCAGAGAGAGACAAAAATCCTCCTCATCGCTGTCTGAAATGGGTGTATGATTATACTGGGTTCATGCCCTCTGCGCTTAGACTCTCCCATAACAGGAAACAAACTCTCACTCTCTACACCGTCCAGCCCCCTAATAAAATCTCCTTTCATTCTCTTTTAACTCCAAGGAGTACAAGCCCAATCTAGTCAGGGACAGCACAAAAGCAAAAGAAAAAGCATATAATGTGATGAAGATTAATGGGAAGCCAGAGGATTGGGAAGTCTTTTAAAACCAGCAGGCGACAACAAAAAAGCAATAGGGCGTATGGGGGTGGTGGTGATGATGAAATATAGAGGTAAGCTAGCTAGTAATATAAAAGAAGATTGCAAGGTTTTTTTTAGATATAAGAAAGGTAAGAGAGAAGCAAGAGTAGACATTGGACTGCTCAAAAATGAGATTGGAGAAGTAGTAATGGGAAATAAAGAAATGGCAGAAGAACTGAAGAGGTACTTTGCATCGGTTTTCACATTGGAAGACACCAGCAGCATACCAGAACTTCAAGAGAGCCAGAGGGAAGAGGTGAGTGTAGTGGCCATCATTAAGGAGAACATGCTAGGGAAGCTGAAATGTCTGAAGGTGGATAAAGCACTGAACTAGATGGGCTACACCCAAGGATTCTGAAGGAGATAGTTGAGGAGATTGTGGAGGCATTGGTGGTGATCTTTCAGGAATTACTGGAGTCAGGGAGGGTTCCAGAGGATTGGAAAATGGCTAATTTAACACCTGTTTAAGAAGGAAGGGAGAGGAAGACAGGAAACTGTAGGCTAATGAGCCTGGTCTCGGTCATTGGCAAGATTGTAGATTCCATTATTAAGGATGAGATAGCAGAGTACTTGGAAATGCATGGTAAAATAGGGATGAGTTAGCATGGCTTCATCAAGGGGAGGTCAATCCTGACAAAACTGTTAGAATTCTTTGAAGAGGTGATGAGCAAGTTAGACAAAGGAGAGCCAGTGGATATGATCTATTTGAATTTTCAGAAGGCCTTTGAGGAGGTGCCACACAGGAAGCTTCTAAATAAGATAAAATATCATAGTTGTACTGAGGGAGGACACTTTCTGGGGCTCATATGCCAGCAATGCCATATGGGGAAAGCTCAGGAATGGGAAGGGTGCAATAACTTTGATGGGATTGTATGAATGGCCTCCC